ATTCTTACATCTATACAAATATCAAGATTTATTGCTACAGCTTATTGTATCTTTCAGTATAGATGAGCCTGTTTTTTAGTATTTTCACATGCATAAAGTTTTTAAAATATATATCTTTTTTAACTTTCCTTTGTTTAACTTACAATGATACAGTGCATTTGGCTTAATATTTAGTCAAAATCTTACGTTGGAAAGAAATCTGGACAGGGTGATCTCACAGTAACGTCAAAAACACAACAAGGATTCAAGCTTCACAACAGCCTTTCTAGGTAACTTATGTTGGACTGATTAGCAAATATGTAATCAAGACATGTTATATCTGTGGATGTTTTGACATTATAATCAATATATTTTTTGAATATAAAATCCTTCATCAGACACCTTGCATGCATTTGAGCTGCACTAATGTCAAACACCTCAGCCATTGTCAATTTCAGTAAAAACAGGGCTTTGAGGGTTAGCATAAAGTAAATATTAGACTTTTTCACTTCTGCACACTGTTCTGGTGGGAAGTTCATTATGTTCTATTCTTTTCCAGACTAGACTTCATTTGTTCCAAAAAAGTAAAAGAAAAATGTAACTATAAAGAGTTTGCTATTTCCTTAATAATCCTTTGCACACACAGTCTAATTATCCAATACAGCTTCCTTCAGAAACACTTTAACACTTTTGTTCAGATGTTTTTTTCCTGCCTTGTGATTGATAGCACACAGAAATGTCAGCCTAATCAAATTTTTTTGTGCCTGAACATTTACTGGAGAAAGGAATCTTTCTGTGATCATCATATTTTTCTCACTTCTATAACAAAGTCTTTCTTAGGTAAAAAAAAAACCACATTTTGTTGTTTTTGCAGTCTTGACCAAAGCTTCAAATACAGCAGGACGCATTTGGGAAGAAGTCCGAGCCCCCACTTTTAGATGCCCCCCCCCCCATCTCCGGCTCCCCATTAATAACCGGGGACTGAGATGGGTCTGAAATCTGCAGGGTTATGTGGAGAGCTGCCAAAAGACAAGTGCAACATACAAGCAACCCACATCACCCCGGGAAGCAGAAAGGGGGACCTTGGTGCTGGGAACGACGGTACAGAGGCACCAACCTGTGCAAAATCACCTGCGCTGTAGCACTTCAGAGATGCAGGCAGATCCGACCCGCTCCTTAGACACGGACAGGAAATGAGTCTCCAGAAGACGCCCGGCGCAGCCCAACGGGATCGCCACATCCGAGAGCGGGAGGTACTGGCAGAGATGTGGATAAAATGAGCTTTGCAGCTTGCAGCCTTTTCCTGCCGACAACACGAGTTATATTGAATGACTCTTAATGAGCTTCGAGCTCTTGTCCGATTGGATTAATTCCCGACCCCTGCAAAAAAGCGGGTGGCATGAATCAGCTGGTTCCTGGGGGTATGGCGGGGGGGGCAGGGGGCAGCAGGGGGTGGAAACGAACATACCTCTTTATCGGAAACCCGTTGAGCTTAGCTGGGTGCCCCCAGTCTCCAATGGGCATGGAAACAGAAACAAAAACGACTTTGAAGAATGCTGCTCTGTGCCTGTGCCAAGACCCTCGGGGCACAATGATACATTCATCGATTCGGAGGACCCTGGGTCTGGTTGCCATGGGATACCCTCATGGAGAACGGCTTAATCTGCCGTATGAAAAGCCTCGCTGGATTTCGAGTAACACTTTGCTTAAGAGGCCCGTACACAAAGTTAGTCTTCAAGTGAGAAGAACAGTGGCCGGTGAACAACAGGAGTGTGTTACGTCTCTTGGGGGGGCACCGGAAATGTCAGCCCAACACACAGCCCCCCTCGCCCCTGCCCACCTCGACCCGGGAGCGCCCGTTTGTGGCTGCGCTTACGTCAACCTGCCAGCCCTCTGACCTCCCTGAGGCTCAGATCCTCTAGTCTAGCTGGCGGCGAGTCGCTGAGGTCAGACCAGGACCCCTTCATCATCATCAGCCGCCTGCTCCCTGCATACAGAGCCATGCCGTATTAGGATATAATACCCTGTAGCATCCATTTGTCATAAAATATGCATAGATTTCCCGTAATGTTTCAGACTTCATTGAGTTTGGTCGTCCTGAAATATCTTTCCTTCATACTTCACAGATCATAAGGCTTTTTTTAAATGGAGCCCAAAAGAGATCAACACAACCACACCCTACTGGCCACAGGGGCGGCGCCGTCCATTGGAAATCGACCCCACGTTCCGTAGCCGCTGGCGTCGAGCGATAGGCTGTCCATCCCAAGCGTCCACTTTGATTGCTGTGACCCTGTTTACGCTGCTGGATAATCGATGTGCTAACTGGTTCAAATAAGGCGACTGCATGACCCCCCTGATGCTCTGTCCATCAAGACCACGGGGGGGGGGGGGGGGTTACGTCATGATTCTCAGGGCCGATGGCATCCGTCTAGGGCTGATTTTGAGTCCGATTCGCATACAGAACCCAACCGACCCCCTGGACACCTCGGCTCCTGCTTTTCCCTCAGAAGTGGGTCCGACCCAGGCACCGTGGGTGGGGGCCCACAAGCAGCTCTAGGCAAGCTTCATGTGCCCCCTGCCCCCCTCCTTCGAGGCTGGCTGTGAAACTTCCCAGGGAGGGGGGAGGATGGTGCCAGTGGCTGGCTAAGTGGGCACCCCTCAGAAGATGGCACCCCAAGCGGCCGTGCCGGGGGGTCCGTGTCGGGGGGTCCGTGTCCCCGTCTGTCCTCCTCTGGAATAGCTTCCATCTCCGGCCCCCGGTTGGTCTGAATGGGCTGCAGTGCAGAGATCCAGGTCGCTTGGCCGCTCAGTCTTCGGGGACGTGTCCATTTCCATCTCACATCCCTCTGGTGTGTTTGCTTGACTGTTGTTGGGCGAGACGCCAGTCGATAAGAACCATTCAAGCTATAATCAATAAAGAGCTCAATAAACTGAGCTGGAAGGTTTCTTAACTCTTTCATCGTCCATGTCTACATTTACACTGGCACTAATCAGGATACACTGTGTGACCAGAGCTTTAATTACCATAAGGCGGTGAGTTTCCTGGCCCCCACCCATGGCCATCTGTCAATAATCTCTTCAGGCCACAATTAATGATCCAAATAATTTGGGATTGTGAACTGTGCGAATGATTTGGTATAATTATATCATTAATATGTCTTTGTGCCAACAGTTTTAATCCTTTTGAATGTAGAACAAAAACGTCTTTAACTGATGGCCTGTTTGTTGTTGTGAGTTTATTCTTCACAGTAATGAAGAATAATTAAAATTTAAATGAGTCAGCATGATCACTGTGCTACATGGCTGCCATTGCATGGGAGACAGATGAAAAGGCTTCTGGGAAATTGGAATCTACGGCAATTTAAGTTACGGCAGGTGAAGCTGCGCGTGGTTTGTCATGTTTTACAAATGTTCCATCCTGGGTTGCGGTCACTGGTCAGGCAATAGTACCAGCCATGACACAAGGACCGGAAAATTCACCCGAAATGTTCATTTTCAGAAGCATCTCATGTCCATGGAGAACCAAGGGGACAAAAAAGAGCAGCATCTGGCACCTCTGTCTGAGTACATCTACATTTTATTTATTTAGCAGATGCGTTAAACCAAGGCGACATGGTCTTTGTTTTCAGATAGCAGGATCAGACAGAGTGGAGGCGCTGAGTTTGGGCCAGTTTGAGGCCTGGATGCTTTTAGCAAAGCCCAGAATCCATTTCAGTCATCTTTTCTTCATTATGTTTAATGAATAAATGTGAGTTGTCATGAAAGACCATATTCATGTATTTTGAATGGAAGAGACGGACCCAAATGAGGATGGACTGACCAAAGACGAGTCCATCACCTCAACCTGGTTGTGGCCCAATGAATATTAGATGACTTTTCCAAAAGAAAAACTTTATCATATTACAGAGAGCAGAGTGCAGAGAGCAATGTTGTTAGTGTTGGATGTAAATTGAGAAGATCAGAATTTTATACTTTTAAATCTTGAAATCTGACAGGATTGTGAGCTAAGTCCCACCCCCCCCCCCTTCCCCCCCACAACCCAACCCTAGAATCAGCCCTAGTCAGACAATCTCTGGAGTATTTGGGGTTAAGGGCCCGGCTCAGGNTGGTGAGATCACTCTGCCGACCCTGGGATTTCAACCAGTGACCTTCTGATAACAGACTCAGCACCTAAACACGCTAAGTCACACAAAAAGTGCATAAACACTGGATGTCGTAGAATCCCTGGGTGTGACCGCACAGCACACAGATATTAAAACCTCACGCAGTTAAGCAAACACCTGAAATGAGGTGAGGAAACAGCCGACTGCTCTGACTGGCTTCATGGGACGCCGGGCTGCCTGGGTGTTGGGGGCTTTTGTACTTCTGCAGTGACGCAGGCATCTGGGCCACCAGTGTGGCAGAACTCCCCAGCTCGTGGACTCGTCAGAGGCTCCGCTCAGCACTTCAGGAAGTGGGAAACAGAACCTGTGCAGAGATGGTTCACAGGACTGCTGCAGTGCCCCATCACCCATAAGAATTATACAGTATAAAAGACCGGCAAATAAATCATTCCCTGGCGGGTTGCCACACGTGCACAGATTTCAGCTCCAGACTTGCATAATGTATTCTCCCATTCTTCACCAACAGCGCCCCCTGCCTGTCAACATTAGGTTGAGCGCAACAGAGTAGCCAGCTTTAACCAATCCAGTGTAATCTCTCTGGGGTGTGTTACCCACTGCCTCAGAAAGCAGGATCTGCTGAACGGCAGAGCTGCACAGCGTGTTCAAACGTGCGTTGAGCTTATTTCTGAAAAAGGTGGATCCCAGAAATGAGGGTCCAGTGGAGCTGGATGCGGTCGGTGTTGAATTTATGTGGCCCATGTCTGGCCAGCGTATGACGGCCAAGATGCATGGGCTGCTCTCCTGCTCAGCAGGTTTTACTTTCACATTTTATTTCCCACTTTTACTACTTTTATCCAAAAAGATGCACAATTGAGAAAGTGGGGTGGAGCAATTGGGGATGGATGGTCTTATTCAAGATTACAATGGTAACATCACTTTACTGACTCTGGGATTCAAACCAACAACCTTCTGAACACACATGAGCCACACATCAACCCTGTCATTGGATGCATTACCTTTCCAGAACAGACTCTCTGTGGGAGTCAGTCGAAGGCTAACGTCATGCCTCTGGGTGGCCTGAGCACAGCAGGAGTGCACAGGGTACTGCAATCCTCCAGCGCCCCCAAGTGGTCAGGGTGTGATATATCCATGTGACATTAACCAATGCCAGGGCTGTCAGTTACCAGGGTCATGAGTGTTGGGTGAATGAGCATGAACCTATGAGCCGTTTTCAGGCACGATGCGATAAGTAAACTTAATGTAAGCGGTGGATAGCATTGCAAAATGCCAGGATGCAAAAAAGCAGAAAGGAGTGAAAATGCAGCCAGGTAGTGGGGGGTGGGGGGCTGGGCTGTGCCTGGCTGTACAGAGCGCAGGCAGACAAAGCAGCCACCTGCGCAGCTGTGTTCAGCAGGCAGGAGGTGCTAATACCAGTCATTCATTTACAAAACAGAGCGGTGAAGAAACTCCCAAGTATCCGCACTGAGCATCACACACAATAAGAGAAATAAGAAACAGGATGAATTTTAAAAATCTTAGCAGGCCTGGATCCAGCTGTGAAATCCTGGGGGGGCCACAGGACTCTCTTGGGGGGGGGGGTTATGACAGGGGGGCTGGGCTTGAGGAGCCAGGCCTGGGTGTTGCCATAGTTACTGCTGTTTTAACAGTGTGGATGCACCAGTTCTTAGGCAGCACTGGGCTGGTGTCCCGGGTCACTGCGCTCCTCCTGGTCCCTGGGCCTGCATGGGCAGCTTCTCCTCTCCTGCTCCTCCGCCCGCGACTCTCTGCCCCCTGCTGACGACGCGGCTGCACAGCGTCAGCCTGGGCTTCTGCGGCCAGCGCTGCCGCAGGTCAGCAGAGGGCACCGTCATCCCGCCGGAACCCTGCGGAGAACACCGGGCTGTCAGCAGTGCTGCTCCGGGACCCCAGGAGCTCTTTGGAACGTCAGACATGCAGTGCTTTGTTTGTCTGAAACCCCAACACGTGAGAGACGGCGATCCTGGAAACTGCACTGGCCAAAGCAGGCGGAGAATCCTTACAAGTCATTATGTTCATTTATCCACAGTGATGGACATTTATGTCAACGCAAGGTCAGACATTCCCTAGAGCATTGAGGGTTAAGGGCCTCGCTCAGGGCCCCAGCGGTGACATCACTCAGCTGACCCTGGGATTTAACCTAGAGACCTTCCGATCACAAACACAGGATCCTGACCCACTGAGACAAACACTGCCCCCCAATAGCACAGCATTGCGACCCAGGCTATGCCCACCATAGCACCATATGCTCAGAAATAAACAACAGAAAGGAAGCAGAAGCCGGCTGGCGCATGACCGTCCTGTAGAGGGCGCTGTAACCAGTGAGATGCTCGAAGTGGGACCCACTTTGAGAAGTTTCACCAGGATGAAGATGGGGATGCAGAGGATGGGCGTGAGCATCAGCAGGCCGGCCAGGACGGTCCCCCAGGGCGACGCTGACTTCCCCATGGGCGGGCTGACGGCCATGTCGTATATCAGGGTGGACTGGAGGAGAAGGAGAGAGGTGAGCACAGGGGCAAACTGCGACACCGGGGGGCACTCAAGCCCCGTGAGGAGACCGGGGTCAGTCTGGCCAATCTACAAGCAAGAGCCACGGAGCCAGCGGACAAGCCGGGACACGACTAAGGGAGTCGGGCGTTAATGAGGCAGGTGGGCAGGGAGAGACACAGCAGAGACGGCGCAGAAAGCAAGGAGAGCCCCAGGAGGTCAGCCAACATCACCATCTACATCAGACAGGCCGGAGCCGAACATCACGACTGCTGCGTTTAAGCCAAGCCTGGCTTATACCACAGTAATTCTGTCATCACGACACGGCTGGGCGTCACGGCGACGGCAGCTGGGGGGCACTCACCGCACAGATGAGGGGGGTCACTAACAGCCAGCAGTACTTCACAACACGCGGCGGCCGGTAGCCGATCATGTCCTCGATGTTGTCATAGAAACGGTCCGCGCCTGAAACGTCAGCGTTTTCCCATTAAAGCATCGTTTTACGGTGGCAGAAAATAAAGAATAAAAAGGAGAGAATGCATATGGGCATGAGCTTTGAGATCAGGCCGACACTGGGATCAGGTACCAGTCTGTACTGGATGTACTGGTGAGACCTACAAACACGGGTCAGCAGCACGCCGCTCACCATAGATCCATGCGATGCTGATGGTCTCGAAGCAGGCGATGAAGAGCAGACTGGTGCCACTGGGGCCATAGGTATCGATCAGCTGGAAGAGGTGGACTCCGCCCTGGATTAAAGTGAGAGGCCTTGGCATGAGCTCGCCCCAAAACTGAGCCTGCAAGCTGCAGGTCAGCCTCAGTCCCCTGGGGGTGTGTCTGTGTAATGCCACAAGAGGGTGGTATTGTCTCACATGCACTTTGTAAAGCTGACGGCAACGTGACCTCTGACCTCGGAGACGAGCGGCAGCCCCAGCAGGAAACAGACTACTGCGATGACGAGCGTCAGCAGCTCCCGCCGGCCCGCCCGCCGCAGCACGCGCGGGAACATGTCCGTGAGCGCCGTAGCCAGGCTCTCCACACACACGAACTGCGGGACAGACATGTCCGTTGCTAGGTTACGATTTTGCACCAAAAATCAACAGCACAAGGCATCCTGGGAGGTCGGTGGCTTGCAGATGTTCGAGTGTGATCGTGAAAGCTCGATTTGTGGAGGAGGGGGTTACAGATGGAAGGAGGGATCGACTTTCAACAGGGTTAGCGAAGTGCCGCACCTGGCTATCCAGACCGAGGAAGACCACCATGAGGAAGAAGAGCACGGACCACAGCGGTGCCCACGGTAACAGCGCCAGTGCTTTGGGGTAGGCTATGAATGCCAACCCAGGCCCTGCAGAGAAAAGGCCATCAGTCAGATAGAGTCAGTACGTCAGTTTCAGTCAGATAGAGTCAGTACGTCAGTTATAGTCAAAGCATGTGAAAATTCCCAAAATAGCACCTCCTATGAGACTCAGGGTGCATATACCTGCACAGTCCACACTGAATTTCTGTTGCTGTTGCCCACAAAATTTATAAAGGGTTAAAAACTATCAGCGAAAAAATACATATTTCACTTAACTTCTGCAACTGGATTTTGTTTTCTACTTAAATTTGCACTGAACTAGCGCCTCATAAGACGTGCTGCTCTCTTCACATACTGCTGCATTTCGGCTCCTACATAGCAAACAAGCATTCGGTTCTGGGTGCGCCCTTATTCCCAGCCTCATTGTGTCTGCAGTCGCTGCAATACTTCCATTAGAAGGTCTGAGGCTCCCCCTTGTGGTCGCTTGCCATGCAATGCCGGCTGGTCACTCTGTTCCAAAGCAGGCGGTTCAGGCCTTACCAGACTGGACTATGTGCTCCATGGAGATGTGAAGCTCATTGGCCATGAAGCCCAGCACAGAGAACACAGCGAAGCCTGCGAATATGCTGGTGCCGCTGTTCAACAAGCAGAGAGCCAGGCAGTCCCTGGTGGGGTACAGGGGGGGTCACCGAGCAGCCTTTTGGGGGGGGTACAGGGTGGGTCACCGAGCAGCCTTTTGGGGTCAGACACTGCGACCTTCCGCTGACTGCACCACTGCACTGCCATTCACTATTCAGTCACACACACACACACTCTCTCTCTCTCTCTCTCTCTGTATATATATATATATATATATATATATATATATATATAAGATATGTATTTATTTTATATACTATATAACACATAGCATTGGTGCACATTTTGGTACAATGACAATAAAGACATTGTATTCTTCAGAAGCCCAGGCAGATACCTCCATTAAATCCTATAAACCACAGCCTTATATAATATAAGTTACTTTAAGTGAATAACCATACATGCCAGCCCCCCCCAGCACCGGGAAGAGCGCCCCCTACTGACTTGAAGCAGTTGTTGTTGTATCTGTTGTAGCTGCCCAGGGCCGTGAGGACTCCTTGGCACACGGCGTATGAGAAGAACACCTGTGTCCCGGCATCACGCCACACCTGAACAGGGCAGAACACGAACACGGTCACCTCAACATGGTCACCTCGACAGGGTCACCTTGACACGGTCACCTTAACACGGTCACCTCAACACAGTCACCTCGACAGGGTCACCTCAACATGGTCACCTCGACAGGGTCACCTTGACACGGTCACCTTAACACGGTCACCTCAACATGGTCACCTTGACACGGTCACCTCGACACGGTCACCTCAACAGGATCACCTCGACACGCTCACCTCAACACGATCACCTCGACACGGTCACCTCAACACGATCACCTTGACACGGTCACCTCAACACAGTCACCTCAACACGGTCCCCTCAACAGAGTCACCTCGACACGGTCACCTCAACACGATCACCTTGACACGGTCACCTCAACACGGTCACCTCAACACGGTCCCCTCAACAGAGTCACCTCGACACAGTCACCTCGACATGATCACCTCGACACGATCACCTCGACACGGTAACCTCCACAGCTATGAAAGGGCTTTTAAGGCATTGTTGGTGGTTGGCTACTGAAAGGGGTCTTTAACCTAATCAGTGGCTTATCAAGACCTCGGGGCAGGGATGGCCAACCTGTCTGTACGCGAACAAATAAGCAAGACCAGCAAAAAGCATGCTGGCTACATTTTTGAAGTGCCATGTCCGGGGCAAAAATTGCATGTTGATCAAAATTTCCGTCAGAATCTGCCATGATGTTGATCCCCGTCCCAAGAAGAACAGAATTTCTTAATTAATTAATTTTTAAATCAAAGGATCTGCACAATCTTACCTCGGGACTGGTAACCTTGCTTATGTCTGGCAGGAGGTAATACTTGATTCCTTCCCAGGCTCCAGGAAGCGACAGGCCTCGGATGAATAGGATGATAAGCATGAGGTAGGGGAACGTGGCTGTGAAGTAGACCACCTGGAGGAGAGAGACATGGGCTCTGAGTAGAGAGACACAGGTCCTGACTTACTGCTGCATTGCACCATTTAAATTCCAAAAGAGACTGAGGGTGACTCCATCCATACTTTCTCCATAAAGTACCTTATTTGGATTTTTTTTATTGCTTCCAAAACTCCAATGAGAATGAAATACTTCTTCAGCAGGAATGGCACCAAACAGGGAGCATGAACACAGGCTATGGTGCTACATGTAGAACATCTTGTCCTTCACGGGCATCTCTCCTATAGCAAAGCCAGGCGGGACTCACCTTGCCTGTGGTCTTGACTCCTTTCCAGATGCAGAAGTAGCAGATCACCCAGGCCAGCAGGAGACAGAGCGCCAGGTCCCAGCGCACGCTGCCCAGCGGCTGGGCCAGGTCTGCTGTCCGCCCCAGCACCCTGTTACTGGGGCACACAAACCAATACGGCGCCTTCTCAGGCTCTCTAAAAACCAGACGTTCTAGCTCTCTGGCTGAGGACGGCGATGGAATTCTGCTGAGGTCAGAGCAGGGGACCCTCTCCTCATGATCAATGGAGGCAGTGTGTTCCCACCCACCCCCGGGAATCAGAGGAAGGCGTCAGCCCTCAACGGTGGACAGCTCGCTTAAGAACCGCCGGAGAGGAGTGAGGCCAGGAGGCCGGCGAGGTCCCCCAGAACCCAAACAGGACTTGGTGCCGCATCCTCAGGCCAGGGTCCATTTAGGTCAATTAACACAGAGCCACTGGCTAGAGGAGAAGAGCACAATGAGATGTTTCGCTCGTGGTGCTCATTCTGACCCGTGTCGTGCAAAGCCATCCACGTCCTGCGCTTTGTCATCTGCGCCTATAGCCCTGCACGGCCTGCGCTTTGTCATCTGCGCCTATAGCCCTGCACGTCCTGCACTTTGTCATCTGCGCCAATAGCCCTGCACGGCCTGCACTTTGTCATCTGCGCCTATAGCCCTGCACGGCCTGCGCTTTGTCATCTGCGCCTATAGCCCTGCACGTCCTGTGCTTTGTCATCTGCGCCTATAGCCCTGCATGTCCTGCACTTTGTCATCTGCGCTTATAGCCCTGCACGACCTCAGAAGCGGCGCCGCGTGGCTTAACAGCCAGGTGCTCTTATCAGATGAAAAGCAGCAAGTATTAATGAGTGCACAGATGATGCAGTACGAGTGCTGCTCTGTACTCCACAGACACACTGCCATGTAACTCACTTCCAAAATTCCTCTTCTGGGGTTTTAAGGAAGGAAACGTTGTTGAAATCACTGCAAAAAAAAAAAAAAAAAGATTGTGCAACTGTATCACAAGCATGTCTGTGAGGTTATTCAGCATCACTGTGAGGTTAATTTAGTCCCTTAATGTTTTCAGCTAATGGCTCAATAGAGAGCCTCCTTCAGAAACCATCGTATGACATCAGGAAAGAAAGGATACCTGTACTCATACTGTACGCTAATATTCTTCACAAAGGTCCAGTTTCCATGAGCGCTGCTCTGGTTGTGACAGCTCTCTGCAGAAGACACCGGATGGTAGGACTCAAGGGGCATCCAATCACAAAGTCAGGACCAGCAACACAGCCAGCCAACTGGTCAAACTGGAAGGGGGGCATTTCAGCATGCTTATGGTAATATAATGGGGTCTTTGTCTTGGGGGTTTGGTGCTTTGGTTCCTGGTTCTTCACATGAAGTGAAATGCAGTGTCAGACACACTGCTTCAGAACCCAGCAGGACACAAGCTTACGGGGGTGGAAGGATCCTTACAGGCTGGTCTTAATACGATTCTATCATCTCTCGCGGGTCTAACTTCTCACTGCTATGACCGTGTTTTCACTCCTGACAATGTTCTGGTGATACGTCTCTTCCCCGAGTAGCTGCCGATCAGTTGCGCAGCCAGGGTGATTCTAGGATTTTTTTTAAGTTGGGGGCATATGAGGAGCCACAATTCACAAAGAGGGGCCAACTTGATCATTAGCCAATCATATGTTTTGAATCAGTGAGTGATGGGGAGGGGGAACTCCAGGGACCAATCAGCTTTCAGCTAGGGCCAGTGCCCCTGTGGTCCCGTCCCCGTATATGTCCCTGTATGCCATGTGTTTGATGACCGTGGGGTTCGGGAGAGTGTATGAGGAAAACTAGAGAAGCCACATCAATAGAGACAGGATGACCGGAGAGACTTAGGTCTAACTTACCCAACATGCCGTTAAAGTCTCTACACATGATTTTTCTTCTCTATTCTTTCCAACATTCTATTATTAAGGTCTCTACATAAACATTGATCCACAAAAAATGAAAGCATACCTGTGTTCCAGGTGTTGCTGCATGTGGACCACGGCAAAGGGCTCCTGAAAGAGCTGAACAAGTAGAAGAGAGCCCAGGCCAAAACCACGATGTAGTACACATTCAGGTACAACACGATCACCTGCGACGCTATTCCGATTCCTGCCAAAATGACACCAGCACAGACAAGGCTCAGGACACTGACATCCATGGTCAGTGAATGATAACCTAAACTATGGTGGAAGGTTTTCATTTAGAGTCAAATTCTAACATCAGCGCAAGGCATATTTTACCCTCAAACATGGGGCAAATCTTCCTCCAAGCTGTGACCCCGCCCTCGCTGGTGTACTGGCCCAAAGCCGTCTCCAGGAAGAACACCGGGATGCCGCAGAAGAAGAGGAACACAAAGTATGGGATGAAAAACACACCTGAAAAAGAAAGAGACAGCATCAAGCTCCTGAACAACATTCATTGTTGGGCACCAGATCTCTGGAGGAAGACTTTAGGGATAAGCCATTTTCCGGGGAGCAGCAGCCGGAGACACACAAAAAGACCCTACAGTCTGCTTTCAGGAAGAGCTGCACCCCGGGGCTCAGATAATCTGCGCCATTATGACATAGTTATACCCTAATCTGCTTATTCACAATAATTTTATCTGCTTTGAAAACCATAAAGTTAGAAAAAATCCTACACTGAAAAATAACAAGTCCATACAACACTCCTTCAAGTCTACACAAAGTTTCAATGCAGATTCGTGCTATATAGGAAATGCATTGCATGCATAGTGATCCTGACATACAGAAACATGACTAAATAACGAGTTTGCCCTGCCTCACTCGCTCACCTCCGCCGTTCTTGTAGCATAGGTAGGGGAAGCGCCACACGTTGCCCAAGCCAATGATCTCGCCGGCCATGGACAGCAGGAACTCCCTCTTGTTAGCCCACTTTTCCCTCTGCTGGAGCCCGGGCCGCCGCGCTGACTGTTCCTCGGCGCCGCCGGAGCTGCTGACGCGGTCTCTCCCTGTGGGGTCATCCATAGTCTGCCTCTGCGTCCCCGCTGCGCGCTCAGCTGAAAGACCCAGGCGACAGCAGCTCCACACTCCATAGGTCATAGTAAATATGTCACATTTGCTTTGATTTTCGGTCTATTTAAACAAAAATGTCAATTCAGCTCCACCTTGGAAGGATTTAAAAATAAGAACATAAAATTAAGAGCACTGTCGTGTAATTTTGAAATAGTTTTTTTCTTTAAACTTATTTACTTGCACTCTTGTAATGAATATAGAGCTGAATTCAAAAAAGTATTAAACACACAAGGCTTCTCATATTCATTGTAATATTATTAAAGTGACAGAATAAACACGTGCCGTATGCTATGCTCTTCAAATATTTCTAAATTTGGTTTTTGCAGCAGACTAGCTTGTTTTTCCAATTTTCCAAAACTATGTCGTTCCAGCAAAAAAAAAACAGCCTCATATTCTTTAACGTCTGGGATCATTTTGCTTGTTTTCGCAGCCGTTAATAAACTTGCACATTTGTTTAGAGAAATGAAAAAACATGTTCGCCTACAGTATAAGCGAAAGTTCCGAAAGATACAAAAACAGCAACAGAGTAGTGGGTCCCTTACCATAAAGTCTCCCGTTGGAATCTTGGAGCGGAGCTTACAGATCACGACTCGTCGTCGTTTGCGGGTGGGGGGCGGTGCGGGATGGATTTTGCCGCGGGGGCTGGATCTCCATAAAGCGTGCTGCCTATAAGCGCGTCATGCAGGCAAAATGACCTTATTTAACCATCGGTACATTGCCACACTCTCCCACTATTATGTCTTGGTGTGACAAATAAAAAAAAAACAACTTTTAAAAGCTCATTTTTGAAGGACCGCGGATCATATACAACTTACACTGTAAAGTTAAGCTACACGTTCCAGTAGCTTAGATATATGCTATTGCCCAGCAGGGCATTCCGGTATTTCAAATGTGTTAAAACCAAACGATTCCATTTTTAAAATGTAAAATAACAGTTAATAGCATGCTTATTGTATATTCAGACGAAATGTTTCCATCTGCTAAAGTGAATGCAATTTTACATGCATACACTAGTAAGGCAGACAGTACAACAGGAGTGTGTAAGGAAATGACGTCGGTACAAGGGCAGCTATGCTGAGCTTCCAGTGAAAGGCCAGTAACAAGCGTAACATCGGAGCAAGAAAACAATGCATTTCAAATAAATCACAGTAAGAGGACTATTCAAGTCAAAAGGCAAACTACAACACTTTGAGCCTTTTGGGTGTGAAAGATGCCAGCTGAGGCAGGACAGAGGTGGGGGTGTCACCAAAACAGGGATGTTCCCAGGATGGGGGTGTCACCAAAACAGGGATGTTCCCGGGATGGGGGTGTCACCAAAAAAGGGATGTTCCCGGGATGGGGGTGTCCCCCCAGAACAGGGGTGTTCCCAGGACAGATCTGCAGCACATTCATACTGTTTGCTGAATTTTATGCTTTTTCAATGCACATAACATTTGACCCCCACTGAGCTGATTTTGCAATCTACCCCCCGATAGTTTTCAGTCAGTTTTCTTTTTGACACTGCAGACTGTGCATGTGAAAATAACAAAGATACACCAACCGACCATGACATCAACACCACTGGCAGCTGGAGTGAGTAATATGAAGGCATCTATATACTGAGGTGTCAATCAGACAGTCACTGCCACTGGATTATGCACAGTGTTTTCATATGTGGTAAACTGGCTGCTGAGATATTTCATGAGATGATAAGGAAAATTGCATCTTAATGAATACATATCGATACCCATGAATGTTCAGGTCAGGGACAAAACAGGGACAAAACATGGGAAATATACTGAAATGCAAACATCATTCAGGTACAGGTAGCACCCATTTCAGAGAGCTGTGTTGGAGCAACAGACCCTCTTAGAAGATCATATGATTTAATGTCCAGTCGTATAAAATAAAATAAAATATGGAATAAATATTCCACCTGTCACGGTAGATCAGGGAAAGAGACAAGGATCCAGGAATGCAGGGGAAACGGGAGTTTAATGGTCGGGTAATGAAGGTTACACAGGGAAAGCAGCAAGCGGTGATGACAGGACACCAAGGATCTTCAGCCCAGACGCTCCGAGAGCGAACGAGGGACGGGGCAAAGCACCTGCACCGAGGGAGCTTGCTGGTCAGTGGGGAAGCGGCGTGCGATACTCGTAGTCGTTGTCCAGAAGGAGAAGTCGTCACCGGGAAGATCAGTCCGATGATGAAACACAAGACGGGAATACTCAGGTAAGGGTGGATGGGAGAAGCCGGACTCGGCGGGACAGGCAGGTCAGGTACGGGATCTGGGCTGTGGAAGGAAGGTAAAGAAGTAAGGAACAAATACGGGGTTGACAGGCAGGGTATGGGCAATCGGGTAGACGGAGGACAGGAGAGCTGCTCAGTAAGGCTTGGAATCATCAGCGCAATACTTCGCAGGGTAGTTTGGGCTTGTTCTCCTTTTAAAAGGAGGTTAATTGTCTCCTGACGGGCTGCACCTGTCTGGCTCCGCCCCCGTTGACGTGACACCACCTCAACAAGTTGTAAAAACATCCCAGAATCACTGCAATTAAGGCATGACAGAATAATTTGGTTATACATGGAGAACTGTAACAAACAGAAGGGTCCTAGCAGAATATTTCACTGAAGTCCAGCCTACTCGAGATACCAGAGGACACCTTCAGAGGTCTTGTGGAATCCATACCTTGAGAGGTCAGAGCTGTTTCGTGGCACAAGGGGGACATACACAATATTAGGTAGGTGGTTTTAATGTTATAGTGCTGTAAGCTTGATTGAAAGGACCAATTAGAACCTTTTTCCAGACCCTGATATAGATAAGTACAGCACCACTGTTCTCTGCTATATCAGGACCTATATTGAAAATATTACCACCAACAAACGCATCAGAATTTTCCCGAATAGGAAACCTTGGATGTCGAGGGAGGTTCAGGCACTGCTGAGGGAGCGAGATGCAGCATTCAGATCAGGGGACAGAGAACAGGCAGGATAAAGCTGTCTATAGAGATAAGACTGAGGATCACTTTTCCAATTGGGAGCCAGCATGTGTATGGCAAGGCATCCAGCATATTACAAATTATAGAGGCAATCAGCAACCAATTCCAGAAGATAACATCCACCTGGCAGAAGAGCTTCGTAATTTTTTTGCACATTTTGGAACCACAGGGACTGATAATGGTATAGCGACTCCACTTGACGCTGTTGCGGACCCCCTCTGACCCTTCAGATCCATGAGGTGAGAAGGATCTTTAGCTCTGTGAACGTCAAGAAAGCTGGGGGGCGGATGGTATTCCGGGGAGAGTGATCAGGGACTGTGCTGACCAGCTGGCTGAGGTATTTACAGACATTTTTAATCGATCTCTGTCTCAGGCTGTTGTACCCACTTGCCTTAAAACCGCCATAATCATACCAGTCCCTAAAAAGAATAAAGTCACTTGCTTAAATGACTACAGACCGGTAGCACTCACCCCCATTATTACAAAATGCTTCGAGAAACTGGTTTTACAACACATCAAATCCAGCCTCCCCATTAACTTTGATCAGCATCAGTTTGCCTGTAGAGCTCATCGATCCACTGAAGATGCTATTGCCACTGCCCTGCACACAGCTCTTGCACACCTGGACCAGCAGGGGGCGTATGTGAGAACACTTTTTATTGATTACAGCTTGGCATTCAATCATATTGTCCCCAGTAGGCTGGTTAACAAAATGCGCGGCCTGGGCTTAATTAGCACTTTGTGTATTTGGATTAAAGACTTTCTCTCCAAACGTCCACAGACAGTCAGGCTCTCCTAGCATGTCCTAGTATGACTCTCAGCATTGGGGCGCCACAAGGTTGCGTTCTGAGCCCCATGCTGTATTCAATATACACAGCTGATTGTACTCCTGTACACCACACAAACACAATAATTAAATTTGCAGACGATACAACAGTAGTTGGACAGATTTCAGACAATAACGAAACACAATATATAGAGGAAATAGATAGGTTGATAGACTGGAGTGAGGACGAGAACCTCACATTAAATATCACAAAGACCAAAGAAATCATTGTTGATTTTAGGATACAATGTGAGGACCACAGTTCCCTAATTGTCAGGGGTAAGGAAGTGGAGAGTGTCACCAGCTTCAAGCTCCTGGGGATTGACATCAGCAAGGATCTCACATGGTCAAGGGTGAGGAAGTGGAGGGTCACCAGCTTCAAGCTCCTGGGGATTGACATCAGCGAGGACCTCACATGGTCAAGGGTGAGGAAGTGGAGGGTCACCAGCTTCAAGCTCCTGGGGATTGACATCAGCGAGGACCTCACATGGTCAAGGGTGAGGAAGTGGAGGGTCACCAGCTTCAAGCTCCTGGGGATTGACATCAG